CCCCTACCCGGGGGGAGGCGGGAGGGAGACCAGGGACCGCGCACGTGGGCCATGCCTCCCATGGATCACGCAGCCACCTGTGCACGTGCAAGCACATGCCATGCCACCCCTGGGCAGGTAGCTCCAGCTGCCCAATAGGCACACGCATGTGTGAAGAGACCTGACACGCTCCCGACCCCAGGACGGGACCCAGCAAGATGCCCTCCCTTCCAACACCCCCTCTACACAGAGGCAGGGGACATCCCCCCCCACCTTGGCCGCACTACACATGGCACAGGGACATGGGTGCAGTCTTGGGGCAGCTCCCAGTCCCAGGGAGAGCCAGACATCCCGACCATGGCCTCTGCGCAAACACGTCGGCTCTCACAGTGCAGGGCACGGTCATCCACACCTTGCGGGCATCCACCCAGCTGGGCATCATCCACTGCATCCCCAGGGAGAAGTGACCACTTCTTTCTCCACAGCCGCACCAGCTGCATGTGCAGGGCGCACCACCCCGCCTGGGACATGCTCATGCACCAGCACGCGGCAGGGGTACCGGGACCAGCACCTGGGGGCCCTGTGAGCCCTGCACCTACCATCCAGGCCTGGGTGCAGGAGGACCTGCAGCTCCGCCAGGAGCAACTTGCCCAGGACTCTGCTGCCCCCTAAGCTACTGTTCCTCTTCTCACTCCTGCCCCCCGTCACACCTCTCCCTCCTCAACCTCCTCCCCATCCCCCTGGGGATGCTGAGGCCCCCGCACCCACCGCCATGCCGGGAAACATGTGGCCCGACGAGACCCCCACCCCGAGCGCTGAGCTTCCCCTCCCCCTTCTTCGCCTTGCTTCCCCCTTCTAGCTCCCTCCTCCCGCCTCCTTTCCCCAGTCTCCGCAGAGTTTCATTCCCCCTCCCCAGTTTTGTTAAAGACAGTTCGTGTTTATGAAAAAACATGTATTTTCTGACATCAGGAAGGGAGGCTAGGGAGGGGTAAGTGAAAGGATGTGAGAGAGAAATGGGGCACGAGCCCGCTGTGGGGAGGACCAGAGTGGATCTGAGGGCTCCTTGGGGTGGACACTCTCCCGCAGGGCCTCCTGGATCCTGACAGCGCCCCGATGGACCTCCCAGATGGCAGCCTGCAGCAAGTGCAGCTGGGCTGATGGCAATGACCCCACGAGATGCACCGGTGTGCCCAGGGGCAGCTCTAGCTCCATGTGGCCGAGTGCTGTGGTGTCCCAAGTGCGGGCACTCAAAGACTGGACTGCTTTGCTGTCCCTCATCAAGGTAGACAAGCAAGCGGAGAACCCTGAGAACTGTCTGTCCGAGGTGAGGGTAGGGTCCCTTTAAGCAGGGAGCTCAGTTAGCCTCAGGCAGCAGCCCCACACACTAAGTCCTAACCTGATGCCCTGCCAGCACTGGCTCCGGCCAGCCTTAACTTTGGTTCAGGGTCTACTCAGTGTGGACGCGTTATTTCGAAATAGCAAAACACTATTTCGAAATAGTTTTTGTGTATAGATGCGTTATTTCGATTTAGCTTAATTCGAATTAACTATTTCGAATTAAGTTAACTCGAATTAATGCTGTAGTGTAGACATACCCAAACACCTTATCATGGATTTTGCATAAATGTCATGGAATTATTGAATACACACTAATTTCTACCCATACACTTAGAACATTTATAGTAGTTTATAGTTTCTC